GAGAGGAGGTTGGGGTGCTTTTAACTTCTTATTTTGGCCTGAACAATTGGAAGGACTGGTCGCCATTTCGTAGGGTTGTGAAGAGTGGAGTACAGGGAGGCAAATCACGAGTTCAATGTTGTACGTTGATATGCCTTGTAAACATTCGAGTAGAGATGCTCCGGGGGCAGCTGAATGTGTGAATATGGACATCAGAGGATGGCTTTCATATCCAGCTCTGCTGTCCAGTAGGGCAGCCACTATCCACACATGGTTATCTAGGTTTGGATTTAAGACACATGTAAAGGTTTATTTAGTCACAGGAGTATGCTAGTACTCAATAGCCATAGGTGGCTTGTGACCACCATATGACAGAATCATACTACACTAGCATCGTTGCAGAATGTTGCGTTGGAAAGTATGGTGAGGAGTTACGAATCTGGGAGTGGTCAGCATGTCGATTGTACTTAAAATCAGAGCACAGGATGAAATCACCCATGGAGTGAGCCTTGATAAATAAGGTCAAGAGGTCGGAGGTCACTTTGATAATGAAGAGTTAGGAGATGAGGAGGATTCAGCCAAGGAGACTAGGAGTGAAGGTCTGCAAGGCAGGAAAAGAACTGAGAGAATGGGTTTCTGGTGGCGACTCAAGGAGGAAGTGATCCACTGTGTCTCGTGCTGGTGATTGAGTAAGAGGAGGCCCATCGACTATTGGATGTGACAGGGTGCCCTTGAAAGAGTGGTTTCCTTGATGTGCTGAGGAGGGCCGCCTGGTCCAGAAAGATCATGGGGGAATGAGAAAGGACTCACTGAGGGATTTTTGCTGTAAAGGGAATCAGTGAAATGGGACCTGAGCTGGAGAGAGATGTGGAGATGAGATCATTTTTAGGAGAGAGAAAATAGCATGCTTGGATGCTGATGGGAATAATCTAGTAGGGAAATTTCAGTAAGGCTCAAGAGAAGGGGGCACTTTTAGTAGATGAGGGCAGATGGAACCCAGAGCATAGTGGAGAACTAGGATCAAGATTGGAGGTAGGGTAGGGTAGGGTAGAGTAGCATAAGAGGAGGAGAGATGGAAGGTGTGAGTGCGGATGCAGAAACAGGTTTGACAGGGAGATTGTGTAAATTCTCTTCTTGGTAGCATTGATTTTCTTCTTGTTGGCAATGTTGATAAGTCTCTATGGGTAGCGTTACTGGAGGCTGAGGGAAACTTGACATCTTGGTTGGTTTTCCTTGTTTAATAGTAATGACACTTGGATGTGGTTCATTTTTTTTCATTTTCTTAAACACATCCTGCCATTCACAGCAACATTTAAAAATGTTTTACGTGAAACCACAAGCCATGTATGGCTTAGGATCTAGAGTCTGTCTAAAAAGTGAAAGTAGAATATATTTTCAACGCCCATTGAAAGTGTGTTAAACCATTCTTAAGTCACCAGAAGTCTTTGAAACTCAAAAGGCAAGAACTAATACATATGTATTTTGAATTTTCTTTGCATTTCCACTGCGGTCGTCTTCGCCCTATGGTAGCAGAAGTCAGGATCTAGTTTGAATGGGGAGAATGGGGTGATGTTAGGAAGTGGAAATGAGTGGATTTCCTTCTCTGTCATGCATGAGACCTGAGTATGTCCCCCTTACACCTGTGTGTGATACAGCCCCACGTATTGTAAAATCATCCTGCCTCGTGAGCGCCATAGCTCACTACAGTTCTTACATAGCTTGCCTATATTTTACTGCCACACATGTACAGGTGCACTGTATTACTTTCTCCCTATGAAATCTCTGGACAAAGAGATTTCACATAAAGAGATATGGCACCAAGAAAATAGAAACCCAAAGTATTACATGTAAGATACCACTTTAATTGAAGGAGAAATTGAGTTAAGTATCAATGAGCATCAACCTTATTTTCTAAATGGAACACTTCTCCCAAAATTCTAGTTTGATCGGGAACCAAACTCTAAATTGTCTGTTTATGTAATATCACGTGAACAGAACAGAAACACAGTGAAAATCTCAAATGAGGAAAGCATACTATGTACTATTCATACAAAATGTCTTAAGTGTTATAATTAAACACATGATTCCAAGAATGGCTGTATGACACAGCTCTGGAAAGAAGAAAAAGACTAGAGGGTTCTTCAGAAGTAAGGCTTCTAGGACCTTGATTTTGAGGTTTTCCTTGGTGACTCATGAAAAACTAATGAGAATATCTGTCCATTTTAATGGTATTACCTGTTATGTTGTGTTTTGTTTTGTTTTGTTTGGGATGGAGCTAGGGGAACAAAGACCCGTTTGTTAGCGTTTTGGTTGTTTCTGGGAGGCACCACGATTCATTTTGCTGTACAACAAATGATGTTCACACCGTGGAATCTTCAGAGTAAGCCGTAATACTCCTGGAGACATTTAAACTAATAGCAAAGTGGAAACCATGGCGTAGCATCCCGAGCCGTGGTCTGGTGTAATGGAGGTCCCTGAACAGCGGCCATCCACCCAACTCTAATTCAAGTGGGATCCCACCAGACAGAGAGAGAGCCAGGGCTTCCTATTTTTAACTGGAAATCTGCTTTGCCTTTTGGGCATGAATGCCCGGTCCTAGCGGTAAAGAATTTTCCACAAGACTCATGGGGGGGGGGGGG